CGGCTTACCTCTGGGCCAGCTCATCCACACCCCGATATCTGCCTCGCAGCGGCAGCACCAACAGCCATGTGCAGCAGGAGCCCATGTGGCTGCCAGCCCACTTCTGCTTGCTCGTGGCCACAACGGAGCAGGAGGCTGAGTGGCATGCCTGAGCTGCTGCGAGGCGAGGCAGGTGTTGGCGTGGGCGGCCTGGCTGCGAGGGCCCTGAGGTAAGCCGGTGCAGAGCTCATGGGGAAGCTCCACACAGACCCACCTTGCGGCAGCAGCACTAATGTACCATGAGGCCTCTTGCCTCACCATGAGAAAACAGAAGAAGTGGGCCTCCCATACATGGGGGGATAAGAACCCCCCCCCATATAAGCCCTAGTGTTTATTTTGGGGCCCAAAAGAAAATAAGACCTCGTCTTATTTTCAGGGAAAAACATGTACCACAAGAAAATTGATAAAGAACTAAATGACACAAAAATGGTACATTTCCCAGAGCACTGACCCCACATAACTTGAAATATTAAGTGAAAGTTTGAATCACGCTATACTTCATCAATAAGCAAATGGTTACTAAATATATAGGAATTATGCCTCATATGATTTAAAAGTATTTCAAAAGTGCATTCACCTCACTTTATCTAAAACCTGAGATACTTCATTTATCTGACTGAAACCACTAGTGCTGTGATGGCGAACCTATGGCATGGGTGCCACAGGTGGCACGCAGAGCCATATCTGAGGGCACACGAGCGTTGCCCTAGCTCAGCTCCAGCACACATGTGCCCACCGGCCAGCTGATTTTCAGGCCTTCCGGGCCCACCGGAAGTCGGGAAATGGGCTGTTTCCGGCCTCCGGAGGGCCTCCGGGTGGGTTTGAGGAAGGCCCTTTTTGCCCTCCCCAGGCTCCTAGAAAGCCTCTAGAGGCTGGGAAGAGTGAAAAATGGGCCCACTGTGCCATCACGCGCCAAAAGTGGGGGGGGAGTGCGGGGAGAGCACACGTACGTGCGCGAGAGGGCGGAGCACGGGTGGGCACTGAATTATGGGTGTGGGCATACACGCGCACAATCCCCCCACTCTCCCCCCACTTTTGGCACGCGACAGCAAAAAGGTTAGCCATCATTGCACTAGTGCATAACTACTATTTCACACTCCGAATCAACTGAATTCATATGCTAACTGTAAAATGCACAATGGATTCTGGTAGATTTAAACATCAACAGCATGACCTCAAGTTAAGAAATGTGCATGTGTGGGCATGCATTTATGCACATGTGTATATATAAATTTAGTTATCCCAGATTTTCTTTTAAAAATATTAAAGGATATAACACAATTGTTTAAAATGCAAAAGAAATGAAATTGAGATTAAGATAACTAATCTAATACTTCAAAGCAGCCTTCTCCAACTCAAGACACACTTCTATCTCCAGAATTCCCTAACCGAAACTGTCATTGCCAGTGCCCAAATTAGGAAAGGCTCCATTTTCTGGACTAAAAATTCCATAAACACGCTAAGCAGAGCTAAGGATTAATAGTCTATGTAGTGGTTCCCAACCTTTCTTACTCCATAGAACAGCAGCGGTGGTGGCAGCAGGGAAGAAGGGATGGTTTCATGTGTGCAACATAGCTCCAGCGCATGTGCAAACAAAGCTTGCCCAACACTTTGCAGACTGGTCCCCAACAGGCCACAGACTGCTACCAGGCCGTGGGACAAGGATTGGGGACCCCGCTCTAATCTATCAGAAAAAGATGCAAACTTTATGTATTTGATACTGGTCCATGGCCCATTGGGAATCAGTTCATGCAAGTGATAGGCAAGCACATGAAACTTCATTTGCACATGCATGGGAGCTAGGTCATGATGTTGGTGTTTAAATCTGCCAAAATCCAGCCTGGAGGTTGGGACCCCTGGTCTAAAGCATCACTGCCAAGAGATTCAACACATGCAAACCTTTACATCAAAATATTACATGTGTAAGATTTAGTGGATGCATCTGTTTCACTAATCAATTAAAAAAACACTGAATAAAACAGCACCACTCACTAATTGGACAACGTATTTTATTTATCTTAAGACCTGTGAATATACAAACTGCAGTTGGCATTCTTCCATTTTCACAAATGAGAAATGATGATGCACATATTTACTTATCAAGTGTGCTGATTTCAAATGTATTACTTATATTTAATTTATTAATATTTCAATCAGTCAGGAATGATATATTTGTATTTCTCATCGAAAATGTATTTAAATAGACTGAAACCGTACTATTAATAAACTTTCTTTATTCTTGAAATATTTTATGCTTATGAAAGAAACAACATAATGGGCAGGTATGTATAATATTGGATAACATACGTAAGTATGTAAATGCTAAATAATTTCCTTATTAACAGTAATTACTATGGATATAGATTTTAAAAATTTGAAATATTTTATTGAAAACAAATTTAGATTCAGATCCTTTGCTTCATCTCAATTCAGAATTAAAGTACTTGGTTGCTTAAAAATAAAAACTGCAAGTTATGCCAGAAAATTTATTCATCATTAACAAATAAAGTGAGGCAGGAGAAAAATATCTCTATTCCACCGCAAAAGAACCAGAGTTGGTTGGTGGAGAGAATTAAATATCTCTTTCCACCTAGATTACTTCCTGAAAATATCCTATATACACATCCGATCCAACCTCATGCCTTGATATAGCTTTATCAAAACTGTGTTTTATTATTGTAACCAGTTAAATTAAAGAATGGCCAATCTTTTTTATGACCAAGGGCCACATTTGATATTTTTCATCTACAAATGCTATAAGGTGTGTGATAATCACTAAAGATTGTGCAGAAATCCCTTCTTAAGGTTCTTTTTCCCTAGATGGTACTAAAAATAGTATTATTTTAATAACACACCTGTTTCATTGTACAGTTTTTTTGCAAACTCCCTTTTTTAATGGGCTGAACTGCATTGCTGTAACTGCAGTATCACAATCTTGGACTTCTCTGGATGCTGTACTGTATCTGAACCACTTGTATTTAATTCAAACATTTTTAAAAGCACTGTGTGAACCAAAGCATTATGTCACAGTATGACTTGTTTGAATTTGGCTTCAGCATGAAAAATGAATTTATCCATTATGGCTTAGTTTTGGATGCAAATCAGATACAATATTAACATTTTTTTAAAAAAAAGAAAACCTGACTTGTTGCAAATTGTAAATTTGGGCATTATCTGACCTAGGTTTCAATTCTACATATGATTCTCCAATAGGCATCCTTGAAATCTACTGATTTGAAATACCAGCATTCCCAAAAATTACCATTCTGGCTGGGAAATTCCTTAACGAGTCACCTCATGACTAAAGATCTCTGGACTGAGAAAGGCTTATATATAGTACTGAGGGTCAGATACTGACTATATTCACAATCTGCAAACACTACTACACAGATTATAATTTAAATCAATAGGGACTATTTCTGAATAGACAGGTTGTGTGGCATACAACTGTTATTTCATATGAAGAAATTACCATAAAAACCAATGTCACATTTCTCCATCATAATTGACAGAAAAAGGTACAGTTTTACATTTTTTGTGGTCAGCTTTAACTTTCTCACATCAATAAACTGGTTGAAAACTTTCAGAATTGCAAACCGATATATTATGTTATTAAGATGATGTAGGATGTAAAGTTTTGAGAATGAAACTATAATTCCTCAAGGGCTCTCATCTATGGTAATATTCACATGGATCAATTTGCAAAATATATCATATTCTACGATTTAAAGATATCAAAGATTGTATTATTTCTATACAAAACATGCTAATTGTCAGCAGTGCTTTTAAAAAACTGAAATACAATCTAGATTTTAAATTAGGATTGGGTAGAATTTAATCTTTAATTCAAACCTGTGTAACTAGTAATTCACCAAGTCAACAGTTTACCTGAGGCTTCATAAACATGTTGTGCCTACTCCATGAAACTTCAAAAACAAAGAGGGGGCTGTCACACATTTTAGTGTATTGATTGTCTGGCTTGCAGTGTTACATATTCTTTTAGTTTTTTTGCAGGTCAGCCTCTTCAAACAAAAATAAGATTTCTCAGAAAATAAGGGAAGAATATTCAGTCCCATTTTTTTTTCAAAAATAACAATATTTAATAGCAAGTTCTAAGGCCATTTATCCTAATAAAATAGAATATCTAGAATTATGTTGGTAATCATTGCATTGAAGAGGCACTCTCAAAAGAAAGGAAGTAGCAGATTTAAAGTTTTGTTGCACATCACTGCTTTGAAATAGAACTAGCCATACCATAGTATCTTTAAAAAGTTTTATCCTCAGTTTTCTGACAATAGGAAAAATAGAATTATATAAAGTTGCATTAGTAAAGTAGTCATTGCCATACACATCATGATTTATACACTGAAAAGTTGATTTACCACAAAATCCCATTTGTCAAGTATGAAACAGTGAGATCTAAAAACAAGCAGAACACAGGCCTCAACTTTGAAAAATATTGCACCACCAAATTAAAATTTATATTCTAGATGCAAAATCCTTAAACTTACATATTTTTCTTACTTACCATACATGAAATAGAATCTAAGAAAATAATGCATTCATTGCCTAATCATTTAAAAGCTTGTGACATGAATCAAATACATAATTCCAGATACCTCTCCAAAATCCAATCTTTAAAAAGTACAGAATTGTGTGTATAGAATTCTGCCACTGTAAAATAAAAACCTGTGGTAACATACCATGGAATACAGATAAAATATACTGGAAAGCAAGAGAAGAGTTTTTTTTCCTCCCTAGATGGAAGCCATAGGATAGGCCTAATCAAGTTATGGGTGGAGAAAAAAAAAATAGAAGCAGGCTGCTGAAAAGACAATAAGGATCTGACAATGCTGAACGTATAGAAACCAAAAAATAAAATATTGTTAAATATAAAAACCACATGCTTCGTTTTGGAAGAGCTGGTGTAAAAAGGACAGAGGATGGAAATCAATACTCACTGCTAACTTTCATGCTGCCAAAGGCTGAAGGCTGCTGCACCGGTTTGCAGCTTTCTGCAAAGGAGGTGGTTCTCGGGCGCCCTGACATGGTTGTTAGCTGTTAGCTTTTCCTCCCTATCGGATCGACTTTCTCCTCCTCTGGTTTCTCTTCCTTTTCTTTTCTCTGCTCCGTTTCGTCCTCTCAGCGAAGAGAAGAAAAGCAGAGTGTAAAGATCGGGGGCCCCACCCTGAAAGGAGGGCGCCCCCCCTTTTAGTCTCTCCCAGCCCCTTTTCCGCTTCGCTTTATCGCAAGCAGGCCACCATCCTCTTCATGCCTAGGAGCAGCAGCAGCGGCAGCGCCTGGGCTCGCGGCCGCCTCCGCCCAGCCCTACAATCCAGTCACTCCCCGCCCCTTTCTGATGCGAGGGGCAGGAAAGAGAAGCAGCACCGCTCGGCTTTCCGATGCTACGCCTTTCTTTCTTCCTCCCTCGCTCGCCCGCTCGCCTTCCTTCCTAGCTAGCGAATCAGTCACGTGAAAGGCGACGGCCAGGAGGTCCTTTTTTTTTTTTTTCCCTCCTCTGGGTGGGGGCGCTGGGGAGACACAGAGAAGGGACGGACTATTTCCCGGCGGAGGAATATGACGCGAGGGATGGCGCGTCCGCAGGCAAAAAGAATCTGACAGAGTGGCGGCCAAACCGCCGGGGCCGTATGAGGAGAGGCGGCGGGGGCAGGAAGGGTGCGGGGGAGGGGCGGCCTGAGGAGCGGGCTCCTTCCTTCCTTCCTTCCTGCCTACCTGCCTCGTCACTCCGTCTCTCGCTGGACTACGCGGGGGCCGAGCGCCGCCGGAGTTCTCATAGCGCCCGTGGGGCGGGCAAATCGCGTCCGGAGGGGCGGCTCAGGCGGACGGCGCTGCAGTGCAGTTGGAGGACGGCGGGGTGGTCCATGGTGCTGCTGCGGCTGCTGCTGAAAGCGGCAGATCTTCCCGACTCAGCCGGCTGCGGCGTTGCTGGCGCTGGGTCTCGCTTGGCCCCGCCTCCGCCACCCCTTCGCTCGGCTTCCTTTGTCCGCTACGCGCTCACGGGGCCGTTGCGGCTTCTTTTCTCTCCGTTGCTGTTGATACGGCCACAAGGTTCTAACTCCTTGCTCCGCTTACGCGCCCCTACGGACTACTCTTCGGGAATACGGAACCGACCGCCCCATTTCTCCGGACTCGGAAAGAGCCGCTGCGCTCTCGTCGGTGTTACGCACGCGTTCCCCTCCAAGCCGAGTTACGCAGCCTTGCTAAGCGTCTTCCGTGGATGCCGAGCCGAACACCCGAACGGTCTCCGAGCCGAAGAGCTTCGGAGGAAAATCCAATCAGGAGAAAGTGAACGCACAGAGCCCTCCCTTCTAGCACTACATCGGGACCAATCGCCGCCGGTGGAAAGGAAGCATCCGCGCTATATAATCAGCCAATGACAGAAGAGCTACGAAAATAATCGGGCCGCGCATTCTTTCCTTTCTGGGATCCAATGAAGAACGCCGGGGCCTGAATTGTCACCGCTGCAGAACCAATGGAGCTCACGGATACTTCCCACGGCATTTGGACGAACCCGGAGAGGAGGCTGATGCGAAATGGGCGGAGCTTCAGTGGGAACTTTCCTGCCGCGTTCCAGGGCATCGTCTGGAATTGTTCCGTCGCCCCGAAAGCAAGTCTGTAACTCGGCTGTTCTCTTGGTGGCACTTGCTGTGCTTTGATGGCCGAGTGTCGCCTGCTCCGGTGGGGGCGTTGACTGAGTGCTAATGTGTCGGTACCGCTTAGGGGACGCATGCAGTCGTCGCCCTGCGCGCTGATAACCGAGTTAGTCTTAGTCATGCCGCGGTTTGAGGGGAGAAGGGAAGTTCCACCACGACTCAAGGTGGGTCTGCTTAGCTAAGCACTTTGCTTTCCACGATTGCTTGCCCGATGCTGCCGAAGAAGGAATGTGGACCCCAGCTCTCTCCTATGGTTTACCTCTCTGCACGCGCCTTCCCTCGAGGGTACGATGCCTCTAAACGTTAACCTTATAAATCACAAGTATTGATGTATTAACTGTTGAGAAGACCGTACCAAATACCTGCACTGCCTAAGAGATTTTGTGCATTGCCCAGAAACTTCTCATGCCAGGTCAGAATTGATTTGCCAAGAACAAGTCTTGGCAGGCTAACCTTATCTCATTTTTGATCAAGGGCATGACATCTAACATTACCTCAGAAGCTTAGATTAGTAAAATACATAATTATGGCTTTGATGATGTGAATACTGCTGTTGGCTCAAGACTCTCGAAAAGCGTTCATTAGAATCAATTTCATTGTATACATGATGTACAAGGACAATAAAGGCTTCGAACTTTAGTTCATCAAACTGAAAGGAGATACGGAGTGATGTGTTGCAGGTTTCTGTTCCATTCACATTTTTATTAATGAGAGGTGAAAAAATGGCTGTGAAATACATAACACAAAATTGAATGGGATAAAGCTTGGAATTGAGGTTGACCAGAATTTTAATTAATCAACAGTATAACATTACTGCAAATGAACTGTAATTTTATACTGCATTAACACAAATATACCGGTAATTGGCAAATCACCAGGAGTTACCCTATCTTTTGCATTGATCATATCATGCCTTCTAGAAATCTTTCTACTATTCAGCATAGTAGAACAAGTTTACAGAATGGCAACAAAGTTGATCAAGCGATTGGAAACTAAGCTCTATAAGAAATGAGTTAAGGCATCAGGCTACAAACATGGAGATGGTCGTAGTTCCACCTTAGGCATGAAAGTTGACTGGTGACTTTGAACAAGTCACTCTGTCAGCCCAGTTCATCTTTTATAGAATAGAATAGAACTTAAGGGACTTTGGAGGTTGTCTAGTCCAGCCCTCTGCTCAAGCAGGAGGGCCTATATTATTTCAGATAAGTGACTGTTTAGTCTCTTCTTTAAAAACTCCAGTGATGGAGCACCCACAATTTCTGAAGGCAAGCTGTTCCACTGGTTAATTGTTCTGTTAGGAAGTTTCTCCTTCATTCCAGGTTGCTTCTTTCTTTGATTAGTTTCCAACTATTGTTTCTTATCCTGCCCTCCAGTGCATTATAGAATAATTTGACCCCCTCTTCTTTGTGGCAGACCCTCAAATACTGGAATACTGCTATCATGCCACCCCTAATTCTTTTCTTTAGACTAGCCCAGGGGTCAGCAACCTGCGGCTCTGGAGCCACATGCGGCTCTTTGGGACCTCTGCTGTGGCTCCCTGTCAGGTGATCCCACCACTGGCTGGCCCCGCCCCTTGCCCTCCCCTCCCAGTCACTCCTCGCCTGGCCTGAGAAGGTAAAGGCGATGGCCGGGGATGGAGAAGCAGCCAGGGGAGAGCAGAGAGATACTGAGAGAGGGGGAGAGAGAGAGACATAGAGAGATACAGAGAGAGAAAGAGAGAGAGGAGGGAAGGAGGGGAGAGATAGATATGTCAAAAGGGTTTTGTGGTTCCTGGTGTTTTTTGACAACTGGTTCTCTGCCCTAATGACCAGCTGGGTAGGCATGGCTGGGAGGGGGGTCATGTGACTGGTGGAAGTGAGTGACATCGCATTGGCCACACCCACCCAGGTTTTGTGGCTCCCGGTGTTTTCTTTTCTGTGGGAAACGGGTCCAAATGGCTCTTCGAGTGTTTAAGGTTGCAGACCCCTGGACTAGCCAAACCCAAATCCTGCAGCCATTCTTTATATTTTTTTAGTCTCCAGGCCTTATCATCTTAGTTGCTCTGCTCTTTGAACTTTTCCCAAAGTCTCAACATCATTTTTGTAGTAGTAAATTGACCAAAATTGGTTGCAGTATTCCAGGTGTGGTCTTAAAAGAGTTTTATAAAGTGGTACTAATACTTCACGTGATCTTGAATCTATACCTCTGTTTATACAACCCAGGACTGTATTAGCTTTTTTGGCGGCGGCTGCATGCACACTGCTGGCTCATATTCAAGTGATCATCCACTAGGACTCTTAAGGTCTACTGTTTTTGAGCCAGGTCTCGCCTAATCTGTACAAATATCTTTGATTTTTCCTGACTAAATGTAAAACTTTGCTTTTCTCCACATTAAAATTCATTTGGTTGGATAGGGCCCATTATTCAAGTTTGTCAAGATTTTTTTGAATCCTGAGCTTGTCTTCAGGGGTGTTGGCTATTCTTGCCAGTTTAGTGTCATCTGCAAATTTGATGAGTTCCCCTTCTATTCCCTCACCTAAGTCATCTATGAAGATATTGAAGAGTACTGGGTCTAAAATGGAGACTTGTGGTACCTCACTGCTTACTTCTCTCCATGTATCCACATATCACCTTGTTAGTTTTCAAGTAGAAGATAGGCATATGAGTGCCATGGCTCATAAATCACATATAGCTTGAAGTGTCAGGTAATTACAGTACATCTGGAAAGAATTGGCCATGTTTAGGTAAAGGCTTAGAATGTCTCAATTGCTGCTGGAACTACATCTCGTTACAACCCATACTCGTATGCCGCAGGCTACATTTTTCTTCTGATTCCTTAATCATTTTCTTCATCTTATCTGTATTTCTGCCTTGTCCTTTGAACCCTGATTGGAATGCTCTATTGGTCTCCAGGAATTTTTCATCCTTTACATCATTTTTAGCCATGGTGGTGCACTGGTTAAAATGCAGTATTGCAGACTAACTCTGTTGACTGCCAGAAGTTTGATCCTGACTGGTTCAAGATTGACGCAGCCTTCCAACCTTCCAAGGTTGGTAAAATGAGGACTGAGCTGTTGGGACCAATATGCTGACATTTGCAAACCACTGAGAGAGGGTTGTAAAACACTATGAAGTGGTATTTAAGTCTAAGCACTATTGCTATTGACTAACAATGCTTGCCTTACCTTTTGAAACCAATTCACTGGTAGGATATCTGCTTTAATTCAGACTGAATTGGGTAAGTCTTGCCTTACAAATAAATTGTGGTTGATTGTTTAATTAATTTATGATTTACTTGAATCTGATAAGCAATGACAGACATTAGAAGTCCTTGCAAGATTAGTTATACTATGGAAGACAGGAAGATAACAGTACAAGTTTGGTAGTTGGCAATTTGCTGCTACAGGGAATCAAAAGAAATGTATTGGACCAATTAGCTTGTGAGCACATTGTCTGCCTGGAGCAAGGACGTGACAGAACTATTTCCAAGACTTACCAGGTACAGTGACAGTTTCCCTTCCTGTTAAATTTAAGTGGGAATAATGACATTGCAAAGAACACCCCAACCCTATTACCATAGTCTTTCTTTCTTTGACTTTGAAGAATTTCAAAACTCTGAAGGCCTTGGTAGCTTTTTCACCCATTTTTCCAGTCCAAGGAAGAAAGAAAAGGAAGAATTCTGCAAACTCAGACTATGTAAATAGACTTGATTTCTTAAACCATGCTATCAGATGATACACTGTGGGAGAGTGACTGAATCAAATGAGAACCTATGAATGGAAATGATGGAAGCTCTGAGAGTATCAGTT